ATACCAGCAGTTGAATTTTGCCCCAGGTGGACCATATTTTGGCTGCTGTCAGCAGATATGGGATAAAAATAACTACTCAAAGTTGTACAAGTTGCAGGCATCGCATTGGCTAATTGATTTTGAAAAAAAACCCAGAAATTTGGAAAAATCATGATTTGGGACCAAAGAGTCTCTTTGTGAAAACAGTGACAAAATAACAGATATACCTACCGGTATGGAACCCAGAGCTCATGGGCTACAGCCCTAAATTGCTCACTCTTCAGTTTTGCCTTAAACTTCAGCCACATGTTCATCTAATCAGATAACTTGAGGGTTTGCATCAAGTAGTTGGCAGTGTCAATGTCACAGTGACATCTAACAGCAAAAATATCAGTATTCTGGACAATATGCTCCGTCCATCAACTGGAGGCATAGCATATACCGGCTGAATCTATCATGAACATGCTTTTACATAAGGTAAAACCTTGATACGAGTAACCACATATTGAATGTACTAGTACTGGTACACGTACTTGGAATACAAGCAAGTTTTGTAGTCTCTGTACTGGGGGTAAATATTTAGGCAAGCGCTTAATGAAGGAAGATAAAACAAGCAAAAGGCAAGTTGGTGAGCCCACTGCATACACCCAAATATTTAGCAAGTGGTCTGCGCTGAGGCAACACGCCCTGCCGAAACTTAGCATACACCTGCACACATCTTAACACTGTACGGGGAGCCGGCAATTCGTCTCAAGGCACATGCCTTCTTCCTTTAATTACATCAGATCAGCGTGATTGATGTCTGATTCGATTAGACACTTCATGTGCTCCTGGCCGTCTTCAAATAGAGTTTGTCCTTTTCAATATCCTACCCACTCCAGCCAAGCCGATGGTCTGCCCTGCAATGCCAGGACACGCTGGCTAAGGCACAAGTGGAGGCCTCTGCAATGTCTGGCCAATTACTAGATTCAATCACCCCCCCTTGACACCTTCGGAAAGCTCCCTCTGTGAATTGATAATGTTTGACTTATCCCAGAGAGGCATTCTTGCGGTGAGAACTTGGTTGTAAAAGAAGTGAGAGGCTTAAATCAATACTTGGTTGAAGAGAAATTCTGACTATGTACTATAGTTAATCAAAGTGACATTCAAATTGTTTCGGGGCGAAAAAAATATGGTTTTCTTCCCAGGATGTTGCATCAGATCAGTCCAAAAACAAGAATGTTTCATCTTCAAACTTATGTGTATAATTGAAAGGAAAGTTGGATGCACAGCACCGCCCAAAATGACTACATCTACGTGTACATTGCGCCCGTCCTGCATTTGTGCATGTACCAGTACAAAACATACGTGCTCTTCAATAAAAAAAGATACGTGTAAATTTTTTCTTCCTGACATTGTAGAGCCTACATACATGTACACACACATACTTTCTCTAAATACATGTACATGTATCTTGACTGATAATAAACAGACATGAGAGACTTCCTTTGCACACATACATACATGTACATGTATGACTGCTTTAAATTTGTGCACATTCTGATGAAAAATGGTCACCTGTTCTCTGTGCCACAGTGCTCCTAACGGGGGTACATGGAAACTACACATGGAAACTAATGTCCACCTGTACTCTACATGTCATGAGATGAGTACAGCTACACTGGAAATGTACATGCAGCTGTATGGTCTGCAGAGCATCATCAACTGCTTGTGTATGGACCAAGGGCAGCAATGTCCAATGACTGTGTTTTTCTGACTGCTGCTCAAACAGAATATCAAAGGTTAGCATATACCGGTCCATCTATGGTAAACTCTGAAACCTGCTTAGAACAAACACCCTGCAGATCCTTTAAGCACTTTGCCAAAAAAAATCAGTTCTGAGTCACATTCATGCTGAAATTCCACCACTGTGCCAGAAGGTCTTCCTTTTAACCCCGTTTATCCCAGATAAACCTCTGTTGCCAGTATTTGAATGCCATTTACGAAGAACTTTAAACATGGATATATGGTAAATCTCTCTCTCTGTCGCTGAATTGGACTGTAACCAGGGTGACACCATTCTTTATCTGATGACAATCGCAATAAGCTTGTCCATTTCTGCCGGACCTCCGATGACATCTACAGCTGGCTCGCTATCCACTGTCCACAAAGGCCCCGGCAAGATAAACACAGAAACATCTTCCCCCGTCCAGCTCCGTCAATCCTTCAAAACAGCTCTTTGACCATTACAGGTACGGTACATCTATCTCTGCTCAAATCTCCCCACAGCTGGCTTTGCCATTCCTGGAGTGCCATGTCAATCCCTGAGCCAGGGAAGGTATTGCTTGTATACCAAGAAGAAATACTGAAGTGGAGAAAGACAGAACTACATGTACATGTATAAAGTTTTTTGGGGGGGAAGTTTTTTCTTTTAGAAACTGTGCAAATGAAGTAGCAATCAGAAGAAAGTCCTCTGATGTTCACACATTTTTTCTCTTCTCAATTACATGCATAAATACATGTAGAGGGGACACCAGTGTTCATGACCAGCAGACTACCGGTACTATAATCCAACCAGAATAAGAAGCACCGTGATGGCATGCAGGTGGTACTGGTAACCGTACATCGTACATGTGAACATGCAATTTCAATGCCTCTCCAATCGATAGAGCGTAATGACATAAAAGAACTGAAAATTAAGAAATGCCTGCAACATGCCCGTATACATGTACATGTAAGTGATGTGATTCCACAATGAGCAAGTTCGGCGGTTCTTGTTTAGAGTGCTGTACCGAACAATACGAAAGCACTGATAATCGCATATGAAGTCAGTTTTCAAGTTTCATATTGGAACTTAAAACAAGCATCCCAAGATTTTTCTGAAAAATATTGCATGAATGGATACAATGAGTGTTATTTCTGCTTTGATGAAAATTGATGGAGAACTTCTTGAATGGAAAAGTACATGTATGTACACGTACATGTACATGTAATTACTCCTTGGATGGTAAATGTTAACTTGAGGCTTTTCCCAAGTGATTCAGCAATAAATAAACATTAAACGCATATTCGGACAGACCACTGATTTCTCTAACACTACGTACTGGTACAATTGAAAGTTTCAAACTTATGAATGAAACAGTGTCAGCAGCTGCCAGGCCAGTGTCACTGAACTACGATACATATACACCCAATGTACATGTACATCTACAGTACATGTTCCTACAAACACTGACCGCATACTACCAAAATCATGTTGACTCTTTCTAGGAATAATATAAATTATGCACACGTGAATATAGTTTAAATCCTTAATTACTGCAGGGTGACCTTCAATGCTGGCAGCTGATGAGATGAGTTTTATTCTGCGGGCAGTAGGTGACCTTCAGCATTTCAGTAATGGTGGTGGAGGGCCTATTAGGCCTATTGTGCACGGTAGTAATTACGTTACGACCACCTACATGTATTCAACTGGATGCAGTCTGAGTGGTCTGGAAAATAAGTCAAGAAGCATCAAGGTTAAGTGTCTCATCTGCAGACCCAGCAGCAAATCTCTGGAGGAAATCAAGTCTAGGCTAAAGAGGTCCACAATCTATGGACGCTCCTTTGTAAGATCCAAACATGTAGATGGTTAATTCCAGAAATTAGGGGTCCAAAAGTGTTAGATTTTTGTGTCCCTGTTACATCTGGCCTTTGTTATTTGACATGGAAATATCACCGGAATTGATTTCAAACTGTTACTTTTTGTTTGGCAAGTAATTTGAATTTATTCATCACTCTTGGAAATTAGAAAATGTGTTCTGAACTTACAAAATCAAATGTGAGATGTGACAGGGACACACACACAAAAAATGGACCCCTGATTTCTGGAACTAGCCACATGTAAGTTGGATACATGTATTTGTTTCTCGAATGTTGTCATTTTTATGTCCGACATGTTAGCATTTTTTTTTCTGCTGATGATGTCACATGTCAGTGCTTGGAAGTGGGTAGAGTGTGGTAACACTGTTTACCGAAAATGGGTCACTTGGGAGACATTCCCATAGGAACGTGCACAAACTTTACTGTCCCATAATTAAATATTCCCTCATCTAATCTGAACCAAACTTTGTATGTTTTCAATTTAGACCCTAATCTATCATCTCTCAAAATTTGGACATTAAAATTCGGCCTCCTTCTTGCAAAGAGGTAGACCGATGGTAGACTAATGTCTCCCCAAGGTTGAAAAATTTACCACAAAATGTCTCCCTAACGACCCATTTGTAAGAACCAAAGCCAGAGGTTGCATCATCCTGGAAAAGTGCTCATCACTGCAACTTCCCTTCCCCAAAGGAACAATGCAAATTATGACCGAACAAACAGATGAGACCAAGTGATCCCGTCCTACTTTCCCACATGCCGCCATCACACATAGCCTGATTGGGAGAACTTCAGGACCTAATCACATTGGGCTAGTCTAAATGCCATTAGCCTTTTTGCAATCAATCATTCCTCGGCAGCAAATCAAGAGGAGCTGGCCAACTGAGGGATGCATATTCGGCAGGGATGCGTGCCGCCCTGCATCACAGATGCCGTGTTGATGTATGGCTGTGCAGTGCTAATACTTTTCTGAAGTAACACTTGAAGCTATGGGCCAGTGAAACCATCGCTGGTCGAATTTCTTCAGTAATCAAATTACGTGTATCTCGTTTCAGGCTTGCACGAACATTACAATTTAAATGTCAAATAAAGAACTCTCATCATGAAATCAGAGTGAACAAAGCTGAGGGGGTGGATCCAGTATTATTGAGCGGGGGGGGAGGGGACAAAGAGGCCATGGGCAACTGGGTTGTTTTGGTCATTAGGAAGGCAAACCATACATGTGTTTACATTTAGGGTACAAGTGTCTTGTGTGTAAAAACATTCCCTGCCAGAGACACATGCGCAAAGCAGTCACACACTTTTCTCTCAACCTTTTGTTACTTGTATTTAAAGTCTGAAGAAATGAACTTGTCTTTTATCTTTGACCAACAGAGTTGGCCCATGCTTAACATTTGCAGAAAATGCAGTGGACACCTTCCAATTAAAAAGGGGTGGAACCTTTTCAAAAATAAATCATTCATTACTCTCCTGATCTGGTCTTAAACAACTCAGCCAAGCACTATCCCCTTATTAAAGTCAGAAATCAAAAACAGTTCAATACATGAACAAGAAATCTGAAAAAATCCTGAATACAGGAATAACAAATCAAATAATCTCTTTACAAGACAAAACAGGGGTTCAATCCCTTATTATTATCTTTTTATTAGGCATTAGATTTGTTCCACTGTACGTGTTAGGACATCTTCCACCATCTCCCACTACCCTGTCACCTCCATGCATCTGCCAAAGCCAGTCACCGGAGAAACCCTCCAATGATGACAAGGGTCGTGAACTTCTCATTATTACAGATAACGGCCAGCCCTAGTGAGCTCGCTACACAACCAGCATCATCACAGTTGGGGCATGGCTTGCTACTCTGTGGCCGTGCGTGTGTGAGGCAGCGGAGAGGCACTCATATGTATACAGCAAATTTAGCCTGTGTCGTAGGCCGCACGTAGCTAATATAAAAACCGGTGACTTAATCAGGAACATGTGCAGGTACTGAACGTGTCAAAGGCCTACGAGTTAATGAGACACACTGTATTGTGTGAGCTCTTGTTGCACACTGAGACAGTACAGATGCTGGTACTCACCGACCACTCGTCCGCGTCGCGGTAGACTGCAACTTCTCCGGGGAGATCTGATGCTTGGAAAAAGTGACAGGCATTCTCCGTGGCAATTACGGACACCTGGAGCTGTGTTGTGTTGAGTGAAGGGAATGACAAATAATGGAAACTTTACAACATGAGGTAAGAAATCCTGAACTGCATTTTTCTGTTTCTTAAAACATGCAGGTAATAATTCTAAATCTTTGTTGTTTTTTTTATAAACCAACCTTTACTGCATAAAATGAAGACATGTATGAAAGTTTTACTGACAACAATATCACAATTCTGGTTACTTGCTAGCTGACTGGGCAAGATAATCAGTCAGGGTTAAGTCAGGTTTTACTTTCCTCTCTGTCTCACATTTGCAAAAATATACTATCCTTTCTCCCAAAATACATTCATCTATTTTTTCAGTGAACAACACTGTCTGTTTCTAATTGAGTTTATAATCCTCAAAGCATGATATTTGAAAAGGTTTTGCCAGATTTTGAAAAGTTTTCTGAAAATTTCTCCATTTAATCAGGTTCAGATTCATTTCCACAAATGCGTACATGTACACAATGTACTGAACTTGGATCATTCTACACATTTGGGGTCCAAAGGGTGACATTTTTCCATCTCTGTTGCCTCTGACACACATACATGCACCACCTGACATGTTTGACAAGGGATGTGCATGTATCACTGAAATTGATTTCAAACTATCATTTGCAGTACTTATTCAATCTTGGAATTAAACAATGAGTTCTAAACATTATAAAATCACATGCCAGACATAACAGGGACAGGAAAAAAACTAGACCCAAATTTATAGAATGACCCACTTGAATAAGGAAAAAAACTTCAATGGTACTCTTTGTAACAGTCTAGGGTAGTCAGATACATGTAAGACACATAAGCTTATACATGTACTGGGCCTGCCCACAGCGAATGCAGTTCATCCAAATTATTACAACATTACCGTTATCGTCCCCAAACTGGTTACCTGCAGTCTAAAATTTGGCCCAATCACTAATCTTTGACCAGTTGAAAGCACCTCCTGCCTGAACCAGGTATGAACTTGCCCCCAATCAGGTTTGGGATTTACCAGCACTAGTAGCTTGGTAACAAATACCAATCTATGGTTATGTACATGACAGATACATGTGTGAATTTTGCAAACAATACAGTTCCGACCATAAGGATTTATGTGCATGGAAAACTCTTCTTGTTTTGACACAATAATGGATTAAAGCCTGAGGTCATGATTTTACAAAATCACATGCATTGACAGGTTGCAGCACAGTCATCATCATATGCCCTTGAGTCTCCAAGCCAACATGTACATGTAGATGAATATTCAGTAGGACACACATACAGTAAATAATTGCGCAATTTGGCATTATTTCCAGGGACGGCAATATGCAGACCATCATGCTCAATACGGGGAAGTTCTTTCCAGGCCTCTTTCCAAACTCATCAATAGCTTAAGATGACAAGACACACAGAGAACCGCCCATCCAAAATGGAGAGATGGGGATGCGCACTCATGTAACCCAATACCCAACGTGCCTCCGCATAAAAATCTGCGACTATTCATCCCCTCCCCCAACAGGGTGAGAAAAATCACTGGGGAAAGGCTGATCTGGCACTGTGTTTACTGCGGACAGATCCCAATTCCCCCCATTCTCCGCTAATTGGCCAATTTTCAACGGGCATGTCACCTGTGGTGGTTTAGCCAGAATTACCAAATTATGACAGAAATTCTTGAGTGGAAAACTGCATCATCAGCATCATTCCTGCTGGGAACAAATTATTCAGTGCGCTCATTTTTGGCCAGCAAGAAAACTAACAGATGTGGTTTTTTTTAATTTCCAGACGGCAGCTTGGAGTCTGTATACATGTACCGGTATGTTGCTTTTTCAGGATCTGCAGTCACGATTATTTCTTTTCGCTACACCCATAGGCAACTTCTAACCACGGATTTTAGAGGGGAATTAGAAACCAATCTCATCCCCAGTTTTCATCACCTGGGGCCAGATTTCCTGGCTCTGCCAAAGTCAACCATGGAAAAATTATGCTTAAATATGAGAATCATGCCGTGGACACAACACAAGCACGAAAATTCAATACTACCCAAGTACGCAAAGACTTCTCAGTTACAGGATTTACGTATGCATATATACATGTACATGTCCATGTACATGTATATATACCAAAACCTATATTTCTCTGCTAACCTATTAACTGCAAGATTTTTGTGACAGTTAGCTAAGATTTTTTTGCTTGGGCCCGGGTCAGGATGAAGCTGGAGAAGTGCTATGGCGTGAAATTACACCACAAATAAACAGGTGTGGAAATCTCTTCAGAAATCTGAGGGAAGCAGGAGTTAATACCAAATTTGCAACTTTGGGGGTTTTTTGGTTCAAAACAGTAGTTACATATTGGTAATGCCAGGCAAATGCTCCACAAAAATCAGATTAAGCTACGGTACAATTCAAAATCACAATCACGTTAATCGCATACATGTACATGTAGCTGTCATGGTATGTCAATGGGCTGCTATGTAATAACTACAAGATTGTTGGTTGGAAAAGTAGTGGAATCTGCTTTTTATTTGTTTCTGCGATTCTGGTCAAAGAATATTGACGATTGATTTTAATCGTTCTTATGCTTTATCCACTTTGTGGATTGGGAGAGTTTTTGTTTGTTAAAGGGAAAAACAACGCATTAAATAGAGAACCTGTCTCGCACAAACTTCAGGAAATACATGCATATGGTGCTGACATTCATACATGTACGTGTTTATGTGTACACAAGCTAAAACAAAACATACATCTGCACATACGGTTGAGACCCTGTTGCTTAGGGCAGTTACATGTACAGTGTACAAATACGTGAATCCCCTCATTACTGATGTAAAAGAGGAAGGCTGAGTTGACTCCATGCCATGAACTACACACATGTGGTGTCGGCTTTTAAGTAAATAATAAAAAAGTGCCAATTTGCCTAAACAGGCCTAACGTGCTGTACATACATTGTACATGTACAGGCACTTCCAACTTGTATACCGGTACCAGGATTCATACCAAAATGCTATTACTTTAATGCAAATGAACAGTCCGAAGTTTTTCCAAACCACAAGCATTATTGTGACAAGAGATGCCTTAAGCAAAGCATCTGTGGTTCCTCCATTAGAAACAATCTACAAACCGGTAACTGTGTAAAAATGAATCCATAAATACACTATACAGTACATAAAAGCAAATGAGCAGAATGAACATAATGCTGAACAGAATTACATCTCATCTGACTTTTTCCCCACGCTGGTTATTCATTAAAACATCATGGCAACACTTCATCAAAAATCTATAACTTCACAACTGGAAGTGTTTGATTTTTTTCTTGGGAAGAAATTACTGTACAGGCGATCGGGGCTCAATTCCGAGTTTGAACTAAATACATATTTGATCATTCTCTCAATTTTCTTTTTGTCTCAACTGAAATGTTTATGAAATCGACCGGCATGCACTTTAGCAACGGCTTGCTAATTTGAACCACACGCTCCAGTTGAAGAGGCACTTGGTCCATGTGGCATATTAGCGATTAGAATATTGAATGTGGTAGGTGTGCGTGAGTGTGTGTGCACATTATAAATACCGTATCATTTGATGATGACTGAGTGATGAGGAGGAACAGAAATGCTTTTGGGTGCAGCTGCTTTGACACTTTGTCCAGGCATTGATGAAATAGGACCGTCTGACTAGATAAATCTTGGAATTCACTGGGCACGGAGCGCAGGCGGGACAGTGGATCTGCCAACCGCTCTTTAGCAAGTCCATCTACATGTATTTACAGAACAGGCTGGGGGACAAAATGAAATTGCTTTTGGGGGCTGCCAGCTTCGTTCTTCGCTGTAATCCGTTTGTTTGTTGGGGGCAGGAAAGGTGGTTCTGAGTGAGGCCGGAGTTCGGGTAAGAAAATTTAGTTACCTACCGTACTTTCTGACGAGAGTATGAGTCTGAACAGAGGGCATACTCATGCGTTCAACTGAATAAATGTTTTGTGATACAGGACTGCAGAAAGAAAAAGAGGACTGCATGGTGTAATGTGAAGATTGGGCAGTCCCCTCGTTTGTGCCGTTTTGTGCTAACCATCAAGTCTTAAGTACTGGGCTGCACTGAACAGGAAGTTTTAAATAATTAACATCTGTCCAGTCACTGATCACGACTGGCTTTACCCGCCGTCGCTCAATGATTTTTTTCCACCTTTCAAATGCTGAAGAGGATTTCCATAAAATGGACGACTTGCCAACTCTACAAAAAAATCATGAGCATAAGATGCAATCTGGAGATATCCTTCAGTGTCTCATCCAGCTGCCTGTCCTAGGGACGCACAAATTGACGTCAGGCAGGTAGTTTGTCTGCTTGAACCAACTGACTGAATTTTACGATAACATAAAAAATATGCAGGTACATATTACACATAAATGTACATGTATATGGATATATGGATCTGTAAGTTAGATTATTGTATGTTTTGACGGCCTCAACCTGCATGTTCATACCAGCATTTTCCCAAATTTGCAGTAGCTGACATCAAATGAAGCAAGATAAGAAAAAAATCTTTGATTATAAGAAGGGTCCATCCAATGACTTCAAAGAACTCCATTCCAAATGGCTCTTTGAACAACGCATACAATTCTGCATTGCATGTATATATTCCTTTTTCCCAGGGGAGGGAGATTTCATAATGGCCGCCTAAAAACGACTCCTTAGAAACCCTTTAAGATGTTCCTGCCTCATTTGCAATGCCTGACAACTTTGCGATCATTTGCTTGCAGGCTTGCTGATGTCTTCACTCCATAGTCTGAATCATTCTGAATACCGAGAATTTATTGTATGTGGCCAAGTGAGATAAACAGATGAATATACCGGTATGAGGCTGGTGGGGGGAGGGGGTTAGACGAACAAATGTTGGCAAAACAGTTGCTGTCTGCACTGTGGCCCGCTTGCGTCATAATGCATGACTGGGAACATAGGCAAATGTCATTATCACCGTTCCCTTAAATTGTTACATGTGCACTGAGTTGAATGACAGCACAGTGGGCACCGGGCAATCAATGATGCATGTGCTCACACACTGTATCAACCCAACCACAA